GGTGGATTGCTTGAGCCCAAGAGTTCAAGGCCACATGGAAAAACCCTGTCTCTACAAAAAAAAAAAAAAATACAAAAATTAGCTACGTTTGGTGGCATGCCCTTGTAGTCCCAGCTACCAGAGAGACTGAGGTGGGAGGATATATTGAGCCCAGGAGGTTGAGGCTACAGTGAGTTGAGATCACACCACTGCACTCCATCCTGGGCAATAGAGCAAGACCCTTCCAAAAAAAAAAAAAAAAAAAAAAAAAATGGAATATATGACCAAATATCTGGGCACCCCATGGCCCAGTCAAGTTTACATATAAAATTTAACATTATAGAGCCTAATTGGGAAATTGTGTTACAAACAAGATTGTTGAACAAAAGTAACAGACACAGTAATATGGAGGCTGATAGTGTGTAAAAAAAGAGCAGATAGACTTTTAAAAAATATATATGGAAATGAAGTAACAGTTATTGAGAAGCTCATTAGCTGAATGATGTATTAGAGGGAGGCTTCCTGATTGGAGTGAATGTGTTTCAAGTTATTTATATGTAAAACAACAAAGATGTTACTGATAAAGGTTAGATACTGATTCAGTTTAAACATATTTTTGAGAGAACAGCTAAAGAAGTCATTGTAGAGGCCAGGCATAGTGGCTCACACTTATAATTTGGGAGGCTGAGGTGGCTAAATTGCAAGGAAGGAAGGAAGGGAAGGTGGAAGGAAGGGAGGGAGAAAGGAAGGGAGGAAGGGAAGAAGGAAGGAAAGGAGGGAGGGATCAATATAGGATGTATTATTTCCAAGAGAATAAGTAAAAGAAGAATAAAGAACACTTAATTAACTAGAAGGTAGCGAAAAATGAGGAGAAGGAAAGATTAGCAGAACACAGAAAATAAGAGAGTAAAAATAAGTCTGAATGTATCTGTTGTAATAAATGTAAACAGGTTAAATTCACATTTTTAAAAAAGTGTAGATTTTCAAATTTGATTTTAGAAAATCTAACAAAATACTATTTATGAATCATTCCTAAGACATAATGACACAATAAAGTTCATAGTAACGAAATGGGGAAATTAGTACAATAAAAATTAATATTAGAAAATTAATAACAAAAAGAAATGGAACACCAGATATGTGAGACAGATCCTATCCAAAAGAAAAGTGTTGCAGAAATATTATTACTAGATAACATTAAACTTAAGAGAAAACCTTTATTAAAGAAAGTCACGACTTTACCAAAAGACATACTTAGCAAGAAGTCCATGTATAACAAATGAGAGTGCAGGCACCCAATGGTGTCGTCTCCAAATACAGAAAGCAAACACTGGCAGAATTATAAGGAGAAACTGACACCTCTGCAGTAGTAGTAGATGATTATTTAATATGTAGTTGAAAAAAAATAACAGAGATACAGAAGACTTGAATAATACAATTAAAATCTTAACCTACTAGACGTATCTAAACCTTGCAGCTCAAAACTAGGAACTTCAATTTTTTGAAGACATATAAAACATTAACAAAAATGATTACATATAAAAACACAAAGAAAGTAAAACAACCCATATTAGTATAAACATCATAAATTAGAAATAGAAATCCATGTTTTTAGATAATTTATGGATCAAAGATGAAATAATGGAAGCTACAAACTATAAATAAATGACAAAATTCTAGCTTGTAGCTAAAGCAGAATTTAGAGGAATGATTATAGCCTTGGGAAGTGTATTTTAAAATAAAAAATTGAAAATGAATTCCATAAAAATAGTAAAATAATAATGTAGCAAACTCAAAGTAGGAACCAGGAAATGATGAAAAAGGATAAATTAAGTGAAATGAGAAGAAAAGGTACGGTAAAGAGGATCGAGAGAGCCAACGTTTGGTCTCATGAAAATACTGAAACCAACCTCTAGCAAGACTGAGAAGTTTTTTTTAAAAAGCTTATACAAATTAATATGAGACTAAAACAAATTTATTGCAGATTTGGAAGTTAGGTCAGGGTGGTGAGTGCATAGATGTTTTTTTATATTAGTTCTTTATGTTACAAATACTTCACAATGATAGGATTATAATCTTAGGTGGTATGCCTTAGGCCAGGCATTGCCTATTTATTCCCTGTCTGCTGTGGCATGCTTTCACAGGTACCAAGTGACTCCATTTCTTGTAAATCTAGCTGCAAGTGACTCATACATTCCTGCTTTGTACATGCTTTGTAGAAAATTGTGATCCTGTCCATTGTAACCCTAAAGTGGCAGAGGCAAACTGTGAAATCAACAGAATGAATGCCTCTAGCAAAGGTTGAGGAGAACAGGAATCCTGTCCATGTGCGGTCAAAAAAGCCAGATGCAAATTGGCCAGAGCTGGTCTAGGAACAGCTTCCGTAAAAGATACAGGCTTTTTTGAGGCATCTTAGTCCTGGCTGTGGCAAGGTTGTCAAATCGCATTTACTTACCTGGTTGATGTTACTATTCATTTCTGTGAGAGGGCAGTTCCTAAGCTTCAGAATATGTGTGTAGAAGTAGGTTTACACTCTCTGGCTTGATTTGAAACACCAGCACACTTTCATGAAGCCTGAATGGAAATTGCTGTGTGTTTGGCAGATACATCCTGGGTCTGCAGCACAGGCATTGACTTCCTAGAAGAACATTCTCTCTTACTCTAAAAATAAATGGTGGATTGCAAGAAGAGAAAAGACTTTTTGTTGAAGTTAAAATGAATGTGGACTCAATGTATCCTTTTTCCTATTATTCCATTTAAAACAACTGACTTCCTCTGGCAAGTTTCCTTTCATTTGAATAGGATTTATTCAACATATTCAAATGTTTTTTTTTATTGTTTTGCCTATGATTCTTAATCCTGATAAGTATACCACTGTGCTAAAATTTATATTGTGAGGAAAATTAGGTCATCAGTTGCTTTTTTCTTTTGATATTTCCCTTTTTTGGCTGAAAATATATGACCTACTTTTCTTATGTCCCAGAGTATTGTCCCTTTTCTTTTTTAAAAAGAGAGATTTTGTTTTATGATTTTAGCAATGAGCTTGCATATAATTTGGTTTGAGGTCTGTAAGTTTTATGGGATAGCATTATTAGTCATGGCCACTTATATATTAGTGAGCTCTTCCTCATATGGGTATGAGAATTGGCATTTACCATCTCCGGGACCATACAGGTAAGGTGCTGCTCTTTCCTTGAGCCTCTGCTGGCATTATGGGCAACATAAAAGAATGTGTCTGCCATTACCATGTGTGGTGACTCGAGTGGCAGGCCAGAGAGTTTCCTCAGAGAAGGGGATGAAAGATGTGGACACTGCTTTGGACCCCTCTGACTGGCCAGGCCTTAGAATTAGGTTGGGAAAACCGAGTTCACCAGGCATATGATTTTTAATACTCTTGCTGCTATAATCTTTTCTTTTATATGATGATTCCCTGCTTCCTATTCCCAATATTTGTACCACTTATCAGTGGTAATCACTTTCAGAAATAATTGAGTCCAACCCTATGGTTTACATGAAGTAAATGCCTAGGTCTGATTTGATTCTTACTATTACTTAAACTGACCAAAATACTGCTGTAGCTGTTTCCCCTAGAGACCACACAAGAACACTTTATTTAGATAGTCAGCTTAAATAATTTTTTCACTTTCTACAGCTAGCAATGGGCATCGAACATGGGAAGCTATGTAACTTGCCAAGGTTGCAGAGCTAGTTGTAGAGACAGGGCTGGATAGGATAGCTGGGTGATGCTCTTTTGGAGATTCCATATGGCCTTTTCACCTGCAGTGCAAACACATGTTCATAAATGGCTAAGTACATAAGCGTTGCTATAAGTGTGCAGTTATATGACTAAGAGTGGGCAGTAATTAAAATAATTGTACTTCATTTTTTTTCTTTGCAGACTCAATACTATTCTTAAGTGAATAAGATATAATTTCCTTATTTATTTCCACAGTATTTACTAACATTTATCTTACGGGTCAGTGTTCTTACAGAGCTTGATAAAGAACATACTCTTAAACAAAATAAACAAGTTGAACCCCATATTATCTCAGAACTTGAATGATGTGTATCTGTGGTCTGTATTTTATTAATTAGATAATTATTCAGTACGCATTTTAGTTTGTGCTTGTGTGAACCAGACCATAGGCCATTTTCCTAAATTGTGGCGAGTAGTTCCGCTGGAGGCCTTGAAAGAATCAGTTCCTAGGCAGCACCTGACTTAGCTTCAGCCTAGAGACCTGCCCATCTCCCGTGCATTAAAAGGAATTCTGGCTACTGTGGCTGCCACATGCCTAGTGAGCAGTGATGTCAAGATCCCCTACCTTGCTTTTCAAAGGATGTCACCTTCATCAGATGTCTCCCTTACTGCCCCCTCTTCTTCTATAGCAGTTCCCTTTGGGGTTCAACTTAATTTGCAAGTTGAGGCATATTTTGGGTAGAAAATTTGTGTGTGTGTCACTCTGTGTATATTTTCCTTAAGATTCTCTCAATTCAGGCAGTTTTACCTACTTTCCTCACTTGTGGAATGGAGATAGGATTTTATGACAGTTGATGAGAATTATTTTAGAAAGATTTAAAATTAGAAGATTCTTTTTTGGCTGAAAGTCATTTTCACTGATATCATTGAAGTCTTTGAATCTGACCTGTCTTCATATACATATGCTTAGTTATAAAATACCTACCTGCAAAAGGTAAATATTTTCTTTTCTGATTTTTTTTTCTTCCAAATGGGCTTTTGCTAAGCTACTTTACCTACAAAAGAGATATCTGCTTTAGGTCTGTACTTGTTAATTTACCTTGGAAAAATTAGGTCATTGTCAAATCTGGCACTGTGGCTTATAAGCTTGGCAAAATGGTCTAATTAAAAGCTTCTGTTAGATGATAGAAAAAGGAAAAAATGATTAGTGCCAGTCATATTTTTGTTTTCCTGGTTTGTGTGTATGTAGGTATATGTCACTTTTCATGTTGCATTAAAAGCATGTTGACTATCTGCTAACAGTTCATCTCTTTTTCTTCTACAGCCTCCAAGTCTGTTATAAATAGTATGCTACGGGACCCTTCTCAGATTCCAGATGGAGTTCTAGCAAATCAGGTCTATCAGGTATTAATCACAGCTGTCTATTTTCAGTGGCAATGCTGTTATCTGCCTAGCAGAGTAAAGGATTTTAAACCTCATTTAATTACTGTCATCATAAACTATCACTGAGGTCAGGGTGCACCATAAATGGCAATGCAATATTTGCGAGAAGAGCATTTCACTTTTTAATAGCTTGCTTTTATAGTGAATAAAAAGCATGCAATTTTTGTTTTCTGTGATTAAATCTGAACAGCCTTCTGATAGCTTTCTTTTTTGGGGGGTGGTGGAGGGAGGAAAGTAATTACTGCTTTTAGGACACTGTTTACTGTAATAGTTTTTGTAGTTGCCCCACCCCAAACCCCTCTTCTTATTTGTCTGCAGTGCATTGTGAACGACTGCTGTTATGGACCACTGGTGGACTGCATCAAGCAGTATCCTTTCCCATAAAATTTTAGGTGCACAATTGACGAGCTTAGACTCAGTGGAGATGTGTCTAGCTTTAACCTGACATAAAGTTCTGCTTCACAAAACACATTTCATACTCCTCTATTTTACATTCAATCAACTGGAGGGTCACTACAGACCATTCTTTTCTACAGCTTAAGGAGTATCAGACCACAGGAAGATGTCAGTTCATCAGTTACATATTCGCATGCTTATTTCAAACTGCTTGGTTTTCAGTGAGTTTAAAGGTACAGAGTCATTAAGAAGGTAACATAATGTCTTGGAATGTTTTTAACCATCCCAATGAACATTTAAAAAAAATACAACAAATTTCCATTTAAAATGAGCCAAATTTTGTTGAATTTACTCGAATAAATTTAGAGCTTGGAGTGAAAAGAGGTTGTGATTAAAATACTTCCAGAGACATCACATTTTAAAGGCAATAGATTCTTATTGCTTAAATGCTGATTAGAATCTGAGCTGGCATTTGGAGTCCTAATAAACATTTTTAGAGAAATCAAGGTAACTTTTCCTCCTGGCATAAATTTAAGGTTGTGAAATCAGATGTCCAGTCATTTTTCATTAAAGACATGGAGATACTAAAGAGTGAATGTTTACTTTTTAAAACAGGATTGGGCGGACAGTAACTACTTCATGAAGTAGGATGTTATTAATCAATAAATTGAGTAGTACTGTGGCAACAGAGTTTTTTGGTAATCCTCAAATAAAAGTGCTATTTATTTGCGGTAAATGGTAAATAATGAGTACTTTTTTTGAGAATAATTTCTATGTGAGTCGATGAATTTCACTTCTCTTAATAATATAAACATGTCCCTCCTGGTATGGATTTTGTTAGCCTGGATGGCACTGTGACTAATTGTGACTCAGTAATTGCCAGTCAGGAGACTTTTTGCTGGAAACTCCTACTAGTGAAATCGTGTACATGTGTACGTTTATATTCCACCTTATTCCACAAAGACTTAGAGTCAGTAACATTTTTAATAAGAAAATCATGCTACATAAGTAATCTTTGATAAACAACCTTTTAACAGAGCCCTCTTACAAGAATATTCAGTATTGAAGATACAGACCTTTATGTATTTGTCCTCCAAGTCTGTTTCTCCAATCTAGCTTAAATTAGTAAAAACACAGCATTATACCAAGCTCACCTTTTATTAAACCAAAGTGAAATTGTACTTCCGTATTCAGTATAAAATTAATGATAGTGATAGAAATTGTAGGAGTGCCGACCTCATGTTGCTACTGATAAAGTTTAGCAGATTCATATAACAACTAACACCATCTCAGAGTATCTGGGGTTGAATTACATGTTAATTTTAAAGCACATAAAATAGTTAAAAATCAATTTAAAGTTAAGGTTTTAAAAGCCTAATGTCTTTTGAAGGATTGCATATTGATTTTAAATATAACTATCTAATTATGTATGCATGGACTAAAGTATGAAGTCAACTGCTTTGTAAATGCCAGGAGGCTATTTTTCAGTAATAGTTGAGATGCTTACGGGAAACTAGATTGCTGTATGGCTGGCGAAGAAAATGGCTTGTGAGGTTATTTACAAGTTTTGCCCATGGTCACTGCCATACATCAATAATAGGTATTATTATAGACAAAGTCTAAGTGTTTTTGCTTATAGAGCATTATAAATTCTGTTTGGAGTATTTTCCTTACATTTTTGCCATCATTCACTTTCCTTTTCTGGCTGTGTTATTGCCAGTAGAATTTAATGTAGTACATGATTTCAATTGATAAAGATAATGACATACGTCTATAAATTACATTCACCGAGTAGATTATAATTTTTGCAGTTTCATTATGTCTGTTGCCAGTAAAACTACAGATTTTGTAAGTTTTATTTTCTAGACTTTGCATTTTATATATGTTTATATCAAGCAAAGCATAATTAAGAAACATATCTGTCCAAAATTTCAAATTGGTGATTGCTTTTATCATGCAAAATAAAACAGGCTGGGAAGTTTACAGAGAAGCTGATTCTGTCTTTGCATTGAAGAAATAGCAGTTTCATATAATGTCTAAATACACTTGCATAGATGTTTCCTAGACTGATCAGCAATAATTATTTTATTTCACACTGAATAAAAATTACTGGTTTTCCATGTAAGTAAATATGCTTTTTGTGTGTTTTTCTGATAATTCAGTAATATTTACATTGCTTACTCAGTAAATTACATCATGCTGTGAGAAAGAAAGCACACATTTGGTAAATAAGATAGGTGCTAAACCTCCTTAGTGCATTATGAAAATGTTATATTTGTGTAAGTAGAATATAGTAAATTGATCCTTTACTAGTAAGACACTATAAAAAGCACAGTTAGCAAAGTATATATACATTATCATTGTGCTTCCTCTTTTTTTAAAAAAAATCTCTATTTCTCCCTATGCAGCCATGCCTATCTACACCTTTTCCACCACAATTCATACTCACCAAGGAAAAAAAATGTGAGAAATGAGCCACCTCAACTTTCCAAAGTATGACTCCAGAACACAGCTATTAGACAAAAGCATAAACTGTGAAGCAGGGAAGGATAATGATGCAGGAAGCTTAAAATGCTGTGGGTTTCATTTCTGTACCATCAGAAACCTCAGTTTCATGATTCAACATTTTAGATGTAAATAATTTACAACAATAAAAATGAGAGCACATTTATGTGGAATAGAAGTAAATAATTTAGTTCTAAAATGTGGGATGTCCCTAGTAATGAGAGACCATTGAGAGTTATTCATCAAATGTCTTCAATGGAATCTGAAAATGTGTGAAATTATGTGATTTAAAAATGTGTTGCCTTTATTTTGTTTCTTGTTAGAAATTTTAAAAGCACAGCCACGTGCACTGGAGGGTAGGGGACAACTGGAGGAAAAGGCAATAATGATGACTTAGGGCTTGTTTTGCTGAAACATAAATGGTCACAGCTCTTGAATTCTAAGATTTAAATGATAGTCACCTGTATGTGTTAAAAAAAAAATGCAAGGTAATTCTCTAGAATTTTTTTCTTATTTTTACAAATAACATAGAAGTTTTATTTAAGTCGAACTCAGGCAGTACATGATCAGAATCAGCTTCTCTAGTAAGCCAAGGAGTGACATGACCAGTTTGGTGTTATCAGTGAAAAGGACAGTGAAGGTAATGATTCACATAATTATTACCAAATGCTTTTGACTCATTTGAAATATTACAGTAGGATAGCATTCTTTTCAGACTTTGTACCATCTCATCTGTTTGGAAAATACACCAGACTTCCATGTTCCACTCATGATTTCGTTATTTACCAGTCATGGGACCTTCAGCAAATTCCCCAGCCTTACTGAACCTTACTTTCCTTAATTGTAAAAATGTGTCTAATAGGCTGGGAGTTGTGGCTCACACCTGTAATCCCAGCACTTTAGAAGGCTAGATGGACAGGTCACTTGAGGTTGGAAGTTTGAGACCAGCCTGGCCTACATGGTGAAACCTGGTGTCTACTAAAAACACAAAAATTAGCCAGGCATGATGGCAGACACCTGTAATCCCAGCTACTCGGGAGGCTGAGGCCGAAGGAAGAATTGATTGAACTCAGGAGGCAGAGGGTACTGTGAGCCAAGGGAAAAAAAAGGGAGGGTGACTCCATCTCAAAAAAAAATGGGGGGTGACTAATATTATCTACTCATGTGGCTATTGTAAGATGGTATCTCAAAGTATTTAGCACAAAGGCTTCATGCATGATATTTAAGAAATATTAGCTATTATCAATTATTACATAATTTTAATACTTTTTGAGAAGCTGTATGGAGGTCATAAACATAGACTTGGCAGAGATTTTGTTGTTACCTTCTTTGCCAGTCATTAACTGTAAGCCCTATACAGGTTTCTTTCTAAGCCTCGGCTTTCTCATCTGTAAAATAAGTATTATTTATGAGGATACAATAACCTACTTAAAAGCACTTAACACAGGGTCTAACACATAGCACTGAAAAACAGATACTCATATGTATATCTATTTATGTACATATACATGTGTACACATAAGCACACAAGAAGACGACTCTTGAAATAGCCTCTGTACCCACACCCTAATCCACAACTCTTTACTAAGATGTCTTTCCTGCAGATTACATATATTCTTAACAAGTCACTTGTTTGGCTTGCAAGTTGCAAAAGTTCAACAACAGTTGATTGGAAGTGAAACAAAGAAGTTTCTAAATGTTAGCTTGATGACAAATGTGAATTCAGGGATTTACAGAACTCTCTAAGATTAGGAATTCTTCTAGGACAAGGGCTGGCTAGTATTCTTTACTGTACCTAGTAAGTGCTTAATAAATGTGTGCTAAGTTGAGTTGAGGGATTTTAATTTTTAAAAACTTTTTATAATTGTTTTAAGAGATAGAGGTCTTGCCACCTTGCCCAGCCCAATTGAAAGATTTTTAACACAGATTAAAGTACATTTAAATGACTCTCCTTCTTTTCAAAATAAGGTACACATCCATTTACAAATCTTTGTTTGCCAAAATATATATACAAAAATTATAGAAAGAGCAGAACACAGAGGCTCACACCTGTAATCCCAGCACTTTGGGAGGCTGAGGCAAGATAATCACTTCAGCGCAGGAGTTTGAGACCAGCCAGGGCAACATGGTGAGATCCCATCTCTTAAAAAAAAAAAAAAAATTAGCTAGACATGGTGGTACACCTGTGTAGTCCCTGCTACTTGGGAGGCTGAGGTGAGAGGATTACTTGAACCCAGGAGTTGAAGGTAATAGTGAGCTCTTATTGTGCCAGTATACTCCAGCCTGGGCAACAGAACAAGACCCTGTATCTAGAAAAAGAAAAAAAGTTTTAAAAAAATTATAGAAAAGTGCTATCAAATTATTTAAATAAGGGGATGTGTATAGAGATTTCATTCCTCAAAGTTGTGGACTAAGGGTGAAAATGGCTGCTAAAACCACCTCAGTCTTTCATTTCATCTCATGGTATAGACCTGGCATTAGCATTTCCAGCTGGTATAATTCCGCCTGTGTTACCCCTTAACTGAAACTTCCCAGTGCCATTGGTCATGAGCATGAAGTCCTGCTGAGAGACATGCTTCTAGAGAAAAACCTGTCCTTCCTAGGTAAGTATTATTTACATCTTCCCTAGCTTGTGTTGTCTCCATGAGTGCTTAAATATATGTTTTAAAAATCTTCCACTAAAGGAAGAGTGAATGATGATTGATGCTGTGCATATTATCTTTTATTGATTTGGAACTGAGCAGGAACTCAGTTACCTAATCTCCTATATATACAGCACATGCACAGGCTTGCAATTAATATTTTATAGAATAAGTGGCTGAAAAAATGCTTTAATATCTGTTGCAGTATTACTTTTGGTATCATGAGATACTAACCATAATCTAGGCCTTATGAGAAAAAGAAACAAAAGAAATATTGTCTATGAAATGTCTTATATATTAAAAAGAACAGTTAGAGAAATTCATGTTCAGTATATTTGTCTCGTATATGGAACCAAATAGTACTTTTACTTGAAAGCAAAATATTAAGCCTTTATTATTTTCATGCCAGACGTTCATTGACATCATGGATTTATTATGATTCTTTAAAAATCCCACATGTATTCATGTGTTTGTGTATTACAGATTATTATTTCTTTCAACATCCCTTAAGCATTAGAAATTACGCCTGAAAGGACTAGACATAGTATAATAAGTGATCACAGAAACCATAAAGCACTCTACAATAAATTAATTTCTCTTCTCCACTTTAAATGTGGTAATTTGTAAAGGCTTCATACAAGTCATTTTATTTTTATATAGATCTGTTTTATGTAAATATTGAAGAGTCTGCACAGTGTTTATTTTAGGACATACACAAAAAAAATAGAACAACATTGGATTACATAAGTTTTGTTCCAAAATGGGCCAAGAATTGGCCAAGGAAAACCAAATGCAGAGAAATTTCAAGTAAGGAAGAGGTGTTTAATGAAGTCCTATAAATATTCTAAATCTTAATGTTTGATATTTTTATTAATAAACTGTAGAATAAAATTGAATCTATTATAAGATTGCTTTAGTTTGAAGCTTGGAGATATAAATATCCTCTAGTTAGGGTTAAAGAAAGTTGATTAATTAGGAAAGTGTTCTCAAGTCACTAAATTAAATTTCAGTATGTAGAAGCAGGAAGTTTTTTTAAATGGGGACAGTTGAATTGTTCAGCCTATGGAAAGAGGGTAAGTTGGAAGACATCACCTTTTAAAAGTCTAATCAAAAGGAAAATATGTAATAGTTCAGAACCAGTTGGAATGAAAGACCTATGATGCACTATGAGATATGCTTTGGAACCAGGTAGTTCTGCTAGTATTATGAAATATATGATCACAGTGATTACTCGATAGTGGCCAATATGTCATGGCCAAGTCTATTTGTTTGTTTGTTTGTTTTAAGCTACCAACTAAGCAGCATCATTTTCAGAGCTGCTTAGCATCACTCTCTGGGCACCATCAGCCTATGGACAGTCAGGTCTTTAGCCCCATTTCTTTGTTTCGCCTAACTTTTGTCTGCTTCCTTCTTGAGAACTAGCCGATCCCTGCCGGGGGGAAAAAAAGCAAAGATTATAGATGTGGGCTAAACTTAGTCCTAGTCCTCAACTTACTTGAATTTGAATGTGTCAGATTGCATTCAACATGGCTGACAAAAGCAATGTAAAAATGTGGTCAGGGGTCATCTCTACTTGCAAACAAGTACAGAAAGGGGACTTAAAATTGAAATTCATGAGGCTCATCTGTTTCTTTGTGCTCTCGAATCTAGAGGTAATTATTTTATGGAAGCATACTCAAAGAGGATATTTAATTGATCTTTAAAAATAAATGAGATATAGGAAGTTTTTGCAACCTCAGTCCTGTTTTAAAGCATTTCCTCATCAGCATACAAACAAGTTGTTAATTCTTTGTATTTTAATGTAGCATTGAATTAATATGTTTGTGGTTGAAACATGAAAATTGAAAGCTTTGTATGGAATATTGTAATGGGGTTGTTGTCCTTTTACCTTATAAATAAATATGCCTTCACAGAGAATAATTAGATTTAAAGTATTGTGCCATGTAAATCTAGATAGATCATTTTAAAGCCAACTATGGAAAAACAATTGGTAAATAAATAGCCCACTAATTGTATTGTTTCTTGTTTACATGTGTACACCTTGAATTTTGTTGCAGAGACATTGCAAACATGTTTATTCTGATCCTTTGCTAAGTAGAAGTAAAATATCCTCCCCCACCCCCCGCCTTTCTGTCTCTCTCTCTCTCTCTGTCTCTCTCTGTTGTTTTCTAATTTGGACTACATTCAAAAGATAAATATGCTCATTTTTAATATATTAATCCTTCTTAATTTAAGAATTATGACTTTCCCTAAAACATTCTATCCATTTTAAATTTTCCACACATTGTGCTCTGTATTTATTTTATAAAATATATATTTTATCTGGCCTCTTATCAATAGAAAGAAAAAATAAAAGTAAATCTCTTTTTCTCTAATTCTTTCTTAAATTGCCTTGGTTTCTAACTATATCCTGAGCAATTGTACAGCACAAGATCTAGCCAGGCACTATAGGAAAGAAAAAAAGACGTGTTCTTATCATTGAAGATTTGAATGTACTGACTTTTAAACTTACCCAATTTGTACTTTCACACTTAAGTATATTATATTAAAACAGGTCAAAGTTGAATAAATGACTTTTGTTTCTCTAACTAAAAAATATTTTTCATGCGCATATTCATTTATTTCAGAAATAAGTTACTAAGTTGGATAATGTTTTAGATACTAGATAAGTCAGATGAAGTGTCTTCTTTCATGGAGTTATGGTCCAGTAGGAAGACAAGCTACAAATGAACACAGATAATTTTTAGCAATTTCAGAGAGTCCATGTAATTCTTCCCTTCATTATTTATTCATTCTTTACAATTAACTTTTGGTGTGTTCTCTGCATGCCAGGAACTACACTAGTTAGTATGAAGTGACTGATTATAAGTACTCTGTGCTCCACCCCCAATGCTCGTAGCCAAGCACTGTGTGATCTAATGAGAATGCAGTTTTCTTTCTGATCCAGTGAGAATGCATCTTACCTAGTAGGTATTCATGTGATTGTCTCGACAATGACAATAAATACTCAAGGCTGTTATGCTGCTTTCATTAAACCTTCCAAAGACAGTTACAAATTATAGCAAAATCAGTCACTACCCTCTACAAATGAAGAAAATGATGCTGCCTCTTGAACTGCTTTTTCTTGAAGTAGTGATGGAATTTTACCTAATCATTTGTTCTTTCTCACCGGGATCTTCCTGCTGTAGTGTATTTCTAGGATGGCCGCTTGACCTCACAGGGTTGGCTCTCTTGCCAGTAGCTAACTACTCTTGTAAGTACTTGCTGTGGGTAGACACCAGTAAGAATTTTAAAGAAACTTTTTTCTTCTAAGTTGATGAAAACATGGAGCCTTCTGGGAAAATTGAAGATAAGTTTCAGTACATGTCAGTAGTTCTTTCCAAGGATAAGTAATTTCGAATTAATATTTCTTGGCCGTATCTCAGCACTTTGGGAGGCTGAGGCAGGAGGATCACATGAGGCCCGTATTCAAGAACAGCCTGGGCACCATAGGGAGATCTTGTCTCTACAAAGAATGTTTTGAAAAAATTAACCAGTGTGGTGGCAGGCACCTGTTCACAGCTACTTGGGAGGCCAAAGTGAGAGGATTACTTAAGCCCAGGAATTCAAGATTACCATGTACTGTGGTCATTCCACTGCACTCCAGCTTGGGTGACAGAGTGAGACCCTGTTTCTAACTTAGATAGATAGATAGATAGATAATCAGCATTTAAAATCTCAAAAGAGATGAAGAACTTGCTGCCCACTCCTAGGCTTGGCTGCACAAAAAACTCTTCAACTTTAAATTGAACAATAAGCGTTGTGATCATCCCATTACCTCTGCTAAGGGTTTGCTCCATGTCTAATATTGACAAAACAGAAAATGTATTTTATCTACTGGTAGAGAGATGTTAACTTGTATCTCTCTCAAGTGATTACTGAGACCATATTTTGCTATGTTACACCCTGTCTTTTTTTCGTTTTCGTTTTGTTTGGTTTCCGTTTTGGTGTAGTTCTGTTTGTTGTCGTTGTTGTCTTTTAAGAGCTTTGGACAAAAAGGCAGGAAAGGAAAAGAAAATCGTGACAATGCGAAGACAACAAGACAGTTTGCATTGTTAGGCAAAATGTGAAAGCGCTCATCCCAAAGACTGCAGAGAAACCATCCATCTTTTATGGGTTGGCGCATCTCCAGGTTGGAGGGACTTTCATTAGTGACTGCCACCGCCACCGTCTGGTGCAAATTCTTGTTAAGTTTGGCCTAATAAGAATGGCTGTGGAGATATTTTATTCTTTCCAATGAGTGTTTCCCTGTTAGTAGATGCTAACAATTATTTTGAGTGACACTTGAGAGACATTTGCTGTGTCCCTGCCTCAGCCTCACCCCCGTGTTTGGACAAACTAGCAAATTTTACAGGGGTGCTTGTGTAGCATTCATGTATAACTGTGGGACTCTGAGAGAGTATAATCTGTAACACCAAATAGACTTAGTGAATGATGTCCCTTGCTGTAAGAAATTAGGATCTTTGTTTCTAAGAGTTCATCTGCCCCTGCTGCTTTATTCCTCACCTGAAGCAACAGTACTCTGCTGGGTAGGTGATTATGATGTGACAAACGGGATTATAACTTCAGGTGAAGGATAGGCAGCAGGAGCAGATGAGATTTAGAATACCAAGATTGTGTGTACGTGCAGATGTCAGCGGCAGAGAGTAACAGACCAGAAATAAAACATAAAATTACGTAGGCTGAAGGGAACGGAGATGGTTGAGTATTTCATAAGGAATCCACCATTTAAATTCCTGTCTATCAGAAGGTTGAAAATGTGATGCGGTTTCTAGAGTAACAGGAACATGAAATTGAGGGTGGAAGTTGGGGAATTTGGGCCCTGTTCTCCTCTTCCTGAAGAGATTGTCATGGTGAGAGACTTTCTTACTTGTTCCCCTTATTGACTGGGCTTGTGCACACTTCTTCCTGGGACCGAGAAA